AAAACGACGTTGTCCGGATACATAAAATAAACATATTTGGTGCCGAAATATTTTGATATCGATGCAGAAATCAAAGTTTCATATTTTAAGAACTCTCTTAAAATAATATAAATTTGCGAAATATAACTTGACGTAACGTCCCCATTATAATCATCAGTGGCGTAACAGCCCCAAGACGGACCAAGGTCGTCTGCCTGCTGGCAGATTTCGAGACGGGTGATGTTTTCTTTTTACGGGGTAGGGTTGCGAGTCCTACGGTCATACTAGATACGGATCTACGTTTTAAAGTGGATTCCGAAACACTATAAGCATCCCTGACACCTCCGAAGACTCGGACCCAAAACCTGCCCCACCGAGCGCCAGACAGACGCAACATAGATGGTTTAAATATAAAATATTAAATTTCAATAACTTTTAATAAAACTAAATATTTACTGCAATTTCAAAATTAAATTTAAATTTTGTAAATAAAAAAAAAAAAGACTTAGTGTAAGAAATATTTCGTTGCTTCAGATGACAGGCACCTTGAATGTTGAACAATTTCTGCCTTTTTTTTTCTTTTTTTTACGAGAAGCCCGAATGTGAGACACTTCAAGATTTATAGTGTTGTGAATGTTGTGACGTAACGAATACCGATAGGGCCTTTGCTGTGCAAGGGTCATGATACTATTTTTTTTCTTGCAGGGGCCTAATGGCCGATTGATTACCGGTCGATCCCACAGGTTTTGGGTTCAAGTCCCGACATTTTCATGAAAGTTTGTAGTGGTTCGGAATCCACTTTAAATCGTACGTCTCGGTGTCATTTGCCTGTGGAGGTAGTGTTATTCGCGCCCTTAGCCTATCTTCAAGCCACACGTGCCCCTTGGGTAGTGCTCAATGAGAAACAGCGTTCGTCAGTGTAGCCCACATGGCATGGCTCTCAGGGACATGGCGAACACGACCCATTCAGCAACGTCATAAAAAAGCCCTGTGTGTGCGTGTGTTTAAAATGCTGAAACTTATCAATTCAGCCTTATTTAAGCTTTATTTTACTGTGCATTTTGCAGTATTTAATCAATTGTGTATCTAAATTGAAATGTTTTCTGAATATCGCAAGACACAAATTAAAAAACACAAATCTCTCCACGAAGCTCACTTTGACCTTTTGCATCTCAATTGAATTTTCGATTCATAAATGCCATCCCAATACATCTTTAAAGTTCAAAGTTGCATGTTAGAGGCTTCGGATCTTTAAGAAAAACAATTTTTTTTTCACAAATATTTCAAGACATTTTCCAAATAAATCCGCCCGACATACATATAAATTTATAATCCCCTACTGATAAAGTCTGTCACAACTTTTATATTTCAAGCAGTGCAGTTGAAATGAATTGCATCTGCACTTGTCAAAGTGAAGCAAAAAGTTCAATAAGAAAAACAAATGCCTTTTTTGATGTTTTCTCTTGACATCTATTAGCGTCAGCTGTCGATTATTTCACGTGACACATTGGAGTAACAGACAATGGATCAACCAAGAGCTTGTGTTGAAATTTCGTTCTGTTGTCATTTTTAATCTAAATGTCCTACTCGAACAGAGACTAATCAATGGAGAACATCAGTTTTCAAGAAAATCAGAAAGGTATTTTGAGACTTCTGAACCAATTTATAACATGACATTTGAAATTAATTATTGTCATGAAATATATTTTTTTCTTTCAATAACATTTTTTTATACAACAGTTAATTTTAATTTTCTATTTGATGAATGTTTCTCTTATTGTTGAACATTTTCAGAACATTTCATGTTGTTGTTCTAATACAGCTAAAAATGCAGAGACAGTTCATCTTTGTGCTTTAATCAAGGGTTTCACAAATGTTACTCATTTAGAACTACCCAGGGGACGCGTGTAGCTGGAAGATAAGTGGATTCCGAACAACTACAACCATCCATGGCACCGCCGGGACTCGAACCCGAAAACTATGGCACAGAGCGGCAGAATGCTAAAACTCAGGGTGGAATAACACTTAAAATTAAAAAGAAAAACGAAATAGTGTCACATAATTATTCAAAAATTTATCAATAAAATCGAGTAACCTCTTTTTTTAGACAAATTTTTAAAAATGCATGTTTTTTATTATTATAAATTGTATCCTACTATCCTTTTTTTCACAAGGATAATATTTTATAAAAACAAAATAAAAGCATTTATTAAACTAAAACTGGAAATAAAATTTACAAGAATGAATAAATTATTTGTTCTGATATTGCTTTTTGTGTTATGAAACATTTTACTTATTATTCAGCTCTGCTCGGAAAGTGGACGTAAAATAAGAACACAATAAACTAATAATAGCACTTTGCAAGAAGCCTTCCACCTGTCAGGAATCTTAAATTAAAGCGTTGCAACTCGAACACACGGCCAGAAAACAAAGTTAATTTTCGTTTCGCATTACGATCAGAAGTGTTCGCATAACGACCGTCGACTTCGTTAAGGGAAGAGCGTTTTGAGTGAAACGTGACTTCTTCAAACATTGCAGAACGCACTTCAAGAGTGGCATCGGAGTCGTGAAGAGATAAAGAAAAATAATTCTTACGAATATTCCCGAAATTCAAGAAGATGGTTGCACACACAGGACATATTCAATTCATAAATAATCAGATTTAAATGAATTGTGTGCACCTTGCAATTCAAGTAATTTCATTTTCTATGAGGGAACCATTGAAAGCTAAAACTTTCAAATATTACTTTATGAATTTTATTTGACGTTATTGTCCAATTAGATTATACAACATTGACAAACATAAAAATGAATATGTATAAGTGAAAATGTTTGCTACATTGGCAAACTTGCAAATTATGTAAAAATACGTAAATTAGTTAAAAGACTTGAAGAAGTTTATGACTTGATGTCAATAGACCTCACTAAAAAAAGCGTAAAGCATGTCACATTGACTTGTATACATGTAGAAAATATATACAATATGCATGCATTGAACTACAAAAAGCTAAAATACAATGCGTTTTTAACAAAAATTCCATTAACACATTCCTCAAAGAATTTATAGAAAGCTGTTTTTAGTTGAAAGCAATCATAACATTAAGAAAATGTAAAAAATACTTTTTTGAACTGACTTAAAGAATATGTAAGATATTGTCTCATTGAAAGAATATTTAAATACTGCATATGGTCACCAATAAGATATCGCTTGAATGGCCGAGTGTCTAGCGCCCGGCTGCCACCAGGTTTCGGGTTCGTGTGGTTCGGACTCCACTTTAAGCCGTAGTTCCCCATCAAATAGGATAGCAGAACGTTGTCTTGAGCTTGAGTCCGTCTTCAGCCCTTGTGGTTCCTCGCTAAAGTGAAGCTGCCTATGACCCATAGCCATGGACCCGTCACCTGAGATGGGGTCTTGTGGACCCGGTGTAGGTTTCCTTGCACCAGGTGGATTAATAACAACAACAGATACCGTATTGACTTGAACACGACGTATATCTATTGTGCTCGCACTGAAATACTAAAATCAAAAATTCAAGACCAAACTGTATTGTTTTTAACTAAGAACTCATAACTACTAACTCATCTGTCAAAGAATTTTTGGAAAACTTTTTTGTTGAAAGCAAGCATAACATTCAAAACGTATAATAATTTTCAGAATCAAGTGAAATTTTAACTATACAAGTTATAGCTGTTGGGTGGTATTGCGGTGTTGCAAAAAATGCAGTTTTTCATAAATTTAACTTCAAGTTCTAAATGCATGAATTTAGCATTCTTGTAGTTCGAGATTCAGTAGCTCTATCTCGACTGCTGATGACTCTAGAAACAAACTCAAAACTGCTGTTATATGAGAAAGCTTTATCTTTCAAATAAAACATTAAATGTTTCTTTCACTGAAACATTTTTTAAAAAAAGTCGTAATTTGAATATGGGCAGTTATCTTAATAGGAACTGATGGCTTAGTGATTAGACCCCGACACCACAGGTTTCGTGTTTGTGTCCGGTGGTGCCATGGATGATTGTAGTGGTTCGGAAGCCACTTTAAAAATGTAGGTCTAATCTTGTACGGTCCTATGAGACTGTAACAGTAGGTTACAGTCTCATAGGACCGTAGAGCGTCACAGAACCCAATCAGACTTCTTCTCGCCCACATCCTTCCCAAACTGCATAGGGACAACTAAGCTTTAGGGACAGTGATGTGGTGTGATGTAGTAGTAGTAGTTGTCTAATATGACTGTAGAACCGACAACCGTACCCCATAAAAGGAAAACATCTCATATTTCGAAAACTGCCCATAGGTAGACGGTCTATTGCGCTAAAAAGGTAATTACCTTAATGGGATTTGATCAAGTGCCACCACTATAATTGATGTATCGTATAAACTTAACGAAATGGATTGGGTTTGTCGCTTTACGATCATTTTATGCACACTTTATGCTAATTAGACCGGGACCTACAGTTTAAAGTGGATTCCGAACCACTCCCCCATGCTACCATCGGGATTAGAATCTGAAGCCTGTGATACCAGAGGTAGCACTAGCCACTTGGCCTCCAAATCTCTCAGCAAAATTGGAATACAGATATAAAATGAATTTCAATTTTATTCGACTCCTTAAATATCAGATTTATTTCACAATATTCTTCTTTTTAAAATAAAAAAATATGCATTGTTAGAATGATTTGGGTTCAACAAAAGGGAATCATAGAAAGAGAATTATACATTTTTTTTTCTAATGCAGCTGGCAATACAGAGACAGGTAATCTTTTATTATGTAAGTATTACCTGCACATTTGCTACTCATTAAGGACTACTCAGAGGGCACGTGTAGCTCGCAGATAGGCTATGGAGGTGAGTACCCCCACGGCGCTCTAAGGTCCTATGAGAAAGGGACCCACGGTTGTAAAATGGATTCCGAATCACTACAAACATCCATGGTACCCCCGAGAGTCGAACCCGAAACTTGTGCTACAGAGCGCCAAAGCGCTATCCACTTATCCAAAAGTTTGCCAAAATTTTGAATGCCAACGGCACGCGGGGTTCCCAGGGGGTCACCCTCTCAAGTACTGACCACGTCCCATATGCTTGACGTCGGTGATCTAACGGGAACCGGTATATTAAGCATGTTATGGCCGTTGGTGGGGATCTTACATTATAATTATTATATTGACATGAAGAAACCAAAAAAAAAAATAATAAAATAAGAATGAAAATTTTAAATCCAATAAATAATTAAAACTATCAATATTGGTGTATACACAATAAACTATAAATAAAAACTGTAATACAGTATATACATGGTGGTATAATTGGTGTATGGGCCAGTATGGCCGAACGGCTAGCGCTCTGGAGCTCGATACCGCAGGTTTTGTTTTCAAGTCCTGGCGGTGACACGGCTGTTTGTAGTGGTTCAGAATCCGCTTTAAAACCGTAGTTCCTGTGTAGGGCTAAGTGAGTAACGTCGGTGCAGCCCTTGACTGAAGCATCCAAGACAACTGCCTAAGAGTTTGCCAGCTGCATTAGAACAAAATAATAATTGATGTATACATGATGCAAGCTATAAATGGAAACTCTAATATGGGTATATATAATACTATAATATAATAATTAAAATGCTATCGAAATATTATTCGAAGGTTTTGTAGCAATATTAGCTGTGCATTGAATAAATCCATGCTTACAAACAGGAAAGGATTTCCTCTGAACTTAATTTAACTTACTGAATAGGAATCAGCTCGTGTTTAAAATCGGTGAAATACACAGATTTCAACCGGATTCGATCCATCTATTCACACTGAATGAAGGAAGCAGTCCATGCGCTTACAAGAAAATGTTTCCATACAGACGTGAATTCACTATGAGCTTAGAACACTGAAAAGTAATTCAATGTTTCCTATTGGAATCACTGAAGCCCTTTTCGAACCAATCTTCGCTTTAAATGAATTAATGCATGTAGTCATTTATATTCGAGAATATTGTGTCATTTATTATGTCAAAAAGATATAGATTTTCTCCAAACTTAATTGCGCAGTCTAAATGAATGGAACCCAAAAGCTTACGTATTTGGGAAAAGGAAACCTAATGTAATATGTTAACCCATCATGAAAATAAAGGAGAGATGTATATAAAATGTAAAATGTTATTACACGTATACTAAGTATTGCTAAATGAGTAACAGTGATGAGAAAGGAGCACAGCCCTTACTTATGGCATAAAGATGAACTTACTCTGTATTTGCCAGCTTCTTTAGAATAACATATTTATATTTAAATGATGAATAAATAACCATTGACTTTCAAATTATTCAACATTTTTATTTGGTTTGGTTTATCACGCTAGGGCCTTTTTGCGCACACTTTAGACTAAACCGGAACCTACAGTTTAACGTGGATTTTGAACTACCAACAAACACCCATGCCGCCACCAGGATGCGAACCCAACTTCAGAGTGATAGTCATTGGCCATCAGACAGCTCAAAATTTTGAAAAAGACTTCAACACAGTTTTCAATTGTAAGTAGGAAACGTTTTGGTTTTAAATCATGGAAACTCGGAATAATATTTCGGTGTTAGGCAAACAAAACAATGAAATAGTAATGAATTTTGTGCAGTTGATCTTTGATGATTTTCAGATAAACAAAACGCACTTATACTGTTCGTATAGAGTTTAGAACGAATTTGAACTTCCTGAAATACAAAAATAAAAAATAAAAAGACTTAAACCACACCATAGAACTTTACCTCAAGTTCTTAAGTCCGGAGCAAGACTTCTAAAACTTTTTCAAGAAACTGAAATTTTTTTTCTCTATTCTGCTTCAAAAAATTTCCATCTTCACAGCTTCACACTTGGGAAGATAATTCCGTCGCTTGTCGTGAATTCGCGAGTGCGGGAGATGGATTCTCTCTTCGACCTCCCAGAAATTTCTAGAAGAAATGTGATAAGATGTTGGCTTGAGAAAATTCTTTCGCGTCAGGCTGCGATGGCCACATTTTGCGCCTGAAATTCATAATTCAGGAATTAATATTAGCCTGGCCTGAATGGCTGAGTGGCTAGCGCTCTGGCGCTCGGTACCACAGGTTTCGGGTTCGAGTCCCGGCGGTGCCATGGGTGTTTGCAGTGGTTCGGAATCCACTTTAAAAAGTAGGTCCCGGTCTAATAGGATCGTAGAGCGTTGCGGGGGCATTGTGACTCCGCGTCCATAACTTATCTTCAAGTGACACGCGCCCCCTGGGTAATGCAAAGTGAGTACGTCTGTGCAGCGCTTGCCTTACGACATCCAAGACCAAGCTGTCTGTGTTTGCCAACTGCATTAGAAAGAAAAAAATATTAGCCTGGAAGGGTTCCTAACAGATAGCTGAAGGTACTTTTTTTTTGTTATTCAATGATTCTTATATTTCTTTACGATGTGCGTAAAGCACATCGTAAAGAAATATATAACACCAACAATGCCATATAAAAATATATATAAATATAAAAGAAATAAAAAAAATGAAACAATTCAAAAATATTTATTTTAGTAGTGCGATATGTGTTTCTCCACTCTTTCACTCTGCTTTTGCAAATCGATCTTCATTTGGGTATTTGCACATCATAATGGGTGTTGCGTCCGTAATGCTTGAACAGTCTTTGTGTTGGGTCCATTTCTTTTTAGAAAAAAAAAAAAAAAAGATGTAAATTGAACCAAAAGCGCAAACTACTTCAAATAAGAATCTGGTTTGCTCTGCTATCAGCAATCAACTGTGAGTATCTAGGGAATATCACTGAGTAACTAAGTTAATTTAAAGTGAAACATAGAACCTGTTATATGATATGTCCCAAGATGCGCGCGCCTCATGAGTTCGCAGAATATAATTTAATTATTATGCGAAAACAGTCATTATGTGTCCTATATATCAGCGAGAATATTATTTTAAAATCAAAGTTCATTTTTTCTCATTTAGACAGTATACATTTTGAATATATGCACAGACTTATAGTGTATTTTTTTAATACTTTGTTTTCACTACTTTGTCATTCTAAAATAAATATATTTTATAAAAGTGTGATACATCTCACGGGCTCCGGAAAAATTTTCAAGACGGGCTGCGGGTTGGTCACCTCTGATCTAGTGTTTTTGATTAATGCCTTATCTGACTCTTTTGACTAGGGTAATCTGGCACCTTTGGCTAGAAAATTGTAATATCGGCGCTCTCTGCTTGGCGATGGTTGTCCTAACTATTGATATGATTGTAGAGGAACCGAAATTTCTTGCAGCTCTGGTTTTATTGTACAGTAAACAGCTAAATTTACATTTGAATTTCTATAATAAAAACGAAACATATTTTGGTTTTCAGCACAAACACTTGTTATCAATTACAATAATCCTTTAATGTGTCAAATAGAAAATAGATTCGAAATTTTTTTATTAAAATTTCATGAGATTCAACTGCCTTTTTGTTTGTTTAACTTCAATTTTAATCTTTTATATGAATAAATATTTACAATAAACGAAACATTTCACTTTTACAATGACATACAGTTGAAAGCACATATATGTCAACCCTTATCTGGAATTTCATCCACTTAGGTCTCTTGGATCGCTCTCTATAAATGGCTGTTTTTAAATGGTTTATTCAAACTGAATACATCCATCTGAAATCAAATATCTACCTTTGTGCAGTGAATGCCAAGAGAATTGTCAGAATCCACCGAGGTAATCATTCAAAGCGCCAATGAGAGGTGGTTTGCAACAAGAATGAGCCAATACGAATTGGGAAGACAAATGTATTACTTATCGAAGACGTATTGAGAGCGATTCTGTGTATGAATGAATTCCTCGAATTTTCCCTCACCCCGTTATTGATGGAACTTCGGATCTCATTTATAAATTTCGTCTGATGTGAAGAGTTAAGAATGAAATAATTTTCGACAACTAATTTGTTTAAGGATGCGGAATTATGCATTACGGTTTGATATTCAAACTGGGGGAAGAAGGAATGGAATATTCTTTCGATTATGAGTTCAGGAATTTAATTAAATGAGAATGTTCTAGTTGAAGTGGGAACATTATTGAATAAACGTATAAAATGTTTATTCTATAGAGTTTAGTCCTGAATGAGATATTAAAGGAAATCTTTGAACAGTTTTCACAGGATAGGAAATAGGTTTTACTGATTAATCAGAACACCAGAGCGCAATACATTTCTTAAATGTTTTTGAATATTAGGTATTTTGACCAAAATCAGCTCCGGCCTTTGGTATCACAGGTTTCGGGTTAGAATCCAGGGGAGGCACGGAGGTTTGTGAGTGGTTTGAAATCCACATTATACTGTAGGTTCCGGTCTGTTTAGCTCCCTTGTGCACAAAATAACCATACAGCGACAAACCTAAATAAGCCTAGAATGGTAGAGTTGTAACAGATTCAACGTTACCCAGACTTACTCATGGGAAGCCTGTTTCAATGCGCCACATTTACCAGCATCCCTTGAACGAACACATTTTCCCCAGGGATAGCGTTTTGTCCAAGGACGTTTTGATTAAAAAATGTAAAAATTCTTTTGGTAATTTTTTTTGATGATTTTTGTTCATTTATTAATTTTTTGAAACGTACAAAAGCATATTTCGTTCTATAGATTTAACACCGGTTTAATTTCCCGTATGTACAGAGTACAGTCTCACTTTCAAAATGCTGTAAAAAATAAAAAATAAAAAAAAATAAAAACACTCGGCACAATGAGTTCAAATTTGAACTGAAGATATTTGAAGAAAGGGGAAATGGTACGCCACAAAAAAATTTTCCAAAAAGTTCTACCAATTTTTTCCATCCAATTTGGTATGCTGGGCTTTAAACTCACAGTGTCACAATTCTTGAATGACCTGAAAATCATTTTTCCGTCCGAACACCGAAGCAATCCAGCGCATGGAACACTACAGTTGGTTTCATGTGCAACTCAATGCCAAATACGTTTCCATGTCGATTCGAACTATCTCTGACAGCGTTACAGCGCCAGCTATTCATACATTTTGGAACTTTTTTTGCATGACATACCGTTACCCTTTCTTAAAGTATAGTCAGTTCAAATTTGAACTCTTTCTGGTTCTTTGAACTCGGTTTGGTTCTAGAACGTGTGGTTCTTTTTATTTTACAGCATTTTGAAA